AATGAGGCAGGTTTCCACGGCCTCTGGGAAGCTTCATGTCTTCAAGGGGGCTCGTGAATGGGAGGAGTTCTGACATCACAGGACCTTCCAGACTGCTTTGTCACTACGCTCACCTAGCAGATTAGGAAACTAAGGCCGTTCGTGTGCAGGGAACAACGCAGCCAAGCTCCTGTTGCGCATCATAGTGAAGCTTCTCCGGGAAGATGCAGGAGAACTAGGAGGCTTCTTCATGTTCCTTGTTGAAGACAGTAACAAAGAGGCTGGAGTGGTTGGTCTGAAGGAAGTATTTGTATTTTCTAACCCCTCCCCCCCCAGTACTGATTTCATTTTTCATACTATAAAATGCTTAGGAATATTTTGAAACCATTGAAAATATCACAGTGACTTTGTTACGATACACTGGCAAAGTGCACTGGCTCTTAAACTAGGTATACTTCACATCTTCCCCCCCAAATGGCCACCTTTCCCTCCCAGACGCGTGTGTGAAAGCCCAGGTAGGCGGGGTGGGGTGGGGCTGGAGGGGCGGTGGGGAAGGGCCGCTGGTCTTTTAACCTTCCCAGCCGCTGGTGCATGCAAGCAGTGGTCGTGACCTTCTGAAAGGGCCGTGCCTCTCACTTCCTTGTACCGTATGCTTTTCAGAAAGTGCTGGTGCTGAAAGGGTCTCAGGAAACGTTGGGCCTCATTTAAGTGTGAAGGAAATACCGGAGCAGAGAGAGATTTCGTTAATGGGGAAGTGCGGACGACATATGTTTACAATGGGGCTGGACAGGTCTCTGTGTCACTTTATCAAAACTGGCTGACGTTCCAGCCCTAGTGTGCCATCTTGAAGCGATACAAAGACTTTAATTTGCTTCTTAATAAATATTAACATTTTAATGACCGAGTAAAACAGGTAAATGCGGCTTTAATGGTATGCAAATTGAAAACACAGTAGTTCTATCGCGAGCATCCAGGGCTGCTGGGCGATGATTTTCCCCAGATTATTGGCCAAGTTTGGCTTTTGTGCTTCTCCGGCTGCCACATTACGTTTCTGCCTTGAAGCCATCCATTTTGCAGATATTGAATTTCTTTTGAGTACTATTTTTATACAATAAGCATCACTACACCCCGGAATCTTGATAGCATTACTCCGCAAGGAGAAAGCAGCTTTGTGTTAGTAATTACCTAGCATTGTCAGGAGCTGACTGCAGGCCTCTTCCTAGTGATAACAGAATAACCGCATAATGTAGCTTTATAGCACGTGATTAATAGAAAATAATTACATGTCCTACAAAGGGATGCAATATTTCTTATAAATTGACTAGAATGGTTTCCTGTAGATTAAAGGACTCTTCATTATTTTATCAGCCCTCCTGAAGTACAGTCACTGGCTCGTGTTAGCATCTCGGTGGCTGGTAAGAGCAAAGCGAGTGAAGGGTTCCAGATGGCAGACCTTCTTGTACCTGAGAGCTCATGGCCATAGAGAGGACACGATGCTTCCTCCCTTTCAGAGATGTAGATGGCAGCCCGGATGGTTTGGTCTTTCTACTTTTTGTTTACCTGCAGTAGGAGGTTTGAGGACCTTTTTTTTTCCCTTCCCACTTTTAATGACCCACCTGCGACTTTCTAGTACAATAATAGAATTAGTATGTGAACCGCAAGACAGACCTGTGTGTCGATTGCAGTATTTTCCACTGTGAGTAACGTGTCATTGGTGATTACATTTGTGTGTGTGTGTGTGTGTGTGTGTGTGTGGTGTGTGTGTCGGGGGGCAAAGAGGGAAGGCAAGTCTTCGTCCTCCGAAGGAAACCTTCGTGACGGGTGGCTCTCCAGGCTGGAGTGGAGAACACTGTGCTCCAAGAAGCATTTTCATTCCAATTTATAGGCTGCAAATGGTTTAATTGGGATTCATGTTGCTCAGGAGGCTCATACAGCGGCTGGTAATGATGAGCGTAGCAGCTCCTGTGTTTGGGGTCCTGTCGACACACGCTAATGGTGCCCGTCTAAATCTATACAGTTGCCTCGTAGATTTTTACCTCCGCATAGTTTATCTCGTCTTTTAATTCCACACAGGAGTATTGTACGGGATTCTTTACGGGTGTGAAGTAATAAACATTCTGGCTTTTATTTGTGCCCTCTTCTGATGTAAATCTGCCATGTTTTTAGCATTCTTTTTATGAGGGGTATATTTCATCTGTTTTTCAATTATTTGAAATTAATTAAGTAAAACATATATGACTATTTTAGTCTAAAATTAAAAATACGTACGTGCTTATGTGTGTGTATGTATGTATGTGTGTGTGTGTGTATATATATATATATATAAACGCTCCTTGTGAGGAGCTGTTTTACAGCTGAATAAGCTCCTCCCTGCTGTTTACTGCCGTGCTTCCTGCCGAATGAGCCTTGCCCGCCTACCGTGGTGTGCAGGATGCTCTCAGGTGTGAAGTCCATCATGGGGCTTTGTTGAAGTGGCAGGTGGGAAATCGGTTTCTTACATTTGGATGGGAGACTGCATCCCAAGAGCAGTAACTGCCTGTAACTGGCAGTGCAGAGTATACCAGAAGCAGGACTTTGTAAAGGAAAGTGGACTTGCTGCTTTGGAGAGCGGAAAGTTCTCTGGAAGCAGGTTTGGGTCCTGAGAGAGCCTCTCACAGAATGTTCTGGGTGTCTGCCACTTGAGAGTCTAGCTCCTGTACTCCCTCCCAATAGCTAAAGAAAATGTCTGATGGGCATTAGGTAAGAGAATCCGTGTTGAGACGCGTTGTTCACTCTCTGTTTTGAAGTCTGACAATGTGGGCTTTTGGCCTCTGGGAGGCTAAGGACCTTTGTTTTGTTAAGCATTAGGCCCTAATTACATCCATTGCCTTCAAAATGGAAAAGAGCAGTTTTATTAGGTATCTCCGACCATGTAATGATGGTTAGTCATAGCTTTCATGGAGTTGATCTTTTCTTCACATAAATCCATCCCACATAGATTATACCCATCCATGCTTTGAGCTGGGCATCAGAGTGCTGTTGCTCATATGTTTGGACTCACAAAACCCACACTAGCCATGAACTTTTACACTAAAAATGTTGAGCTCACAACTGGCGAACCAAACTTTATAGCCGTGCCCTCATTAGAATCAGTGCAACCTTACCCCCTCCATTTCCCTAGCCTTTCCTTCTCTTCCAGGAAGCCTAAATCCCTACTGTTTAAAAAGAGAATTTTTTAAAGCACCTATAGGTTTTTATCTTCTAATTTCTCAGCTGATAGGTAATGTATCAATCCAGATGCTAATGCCACTGCACAGCTTTGAGGATGACGTAATTGCTCTCTCTGATGGTCAGATGCTCACTAATCAATATAAATGGTAGCTCTCTGCTGGCACCACCCCTCCCCTGCTATAGCTCGATATGCATATGCACATTTCTCCGTGACCACAGTGTCAGAGAATTGCCACTTATTGAATTGCTTTGGGGGTAGATTTTAAAAAATTTGTCTTACATGAAAAATAAAATTTGGGGCTGGCAGTGCTTTTTACAGGAGCATTGCTTCTAGAAGATGCCAGTCTTGAAACTTGTCATTCATTTTGCTGTGTTTGTATCTCACTAAACGTAAATAAATTTGAGATAAAAATGCATTAGTCAATCTGGCAAACACAGGGGATGACTCTGGGGCGCTCCCCATGCCTGAAGCGGCAATGTAGCTGTGGACGGAGGGGAAGCAGGGAGAAGGGAGGCCCAGGTTGGGCTCACGGGCAAAGTCAAGGCAAAAGTAACTCATCAGTCACTTCGGGCTTTTTGTTTTGTTTTGTAGCCAGATTAATATTCACCTTCTAACTTGAGACACTTTTTATTTCCTTTGATCTTCCATTGTAAGGAGAAAGCTACCACCACTTTTAAACTCCTCCGACCCGCCCTTTGGGAGAAAGATTGTCTACTCCCATCTCGAGCGACAGTCTCAGAAACCCTTAGGGGCAGTCCCACCCTGTCCTATCAGGTCCCTGCAGGTCAGCATGGCCTTGATGGCAGTGAGTTTGATTTTTTTATTTTACCCACCCTTTATCTCAAGGCGGATCAAAGAAGTAGCTATTTTAAAGGAAGTCGCTTTAAAAAAAAATTTATAAAATTATTTTAAATCATTTTATTAGGGGCTCATACAACTCCCATCACAATCCACACACACATCAACTGTGCAAAGTGCACCTGTACATTCATTGCCCTCATCATTCTCAAAAGATTTCCTCTCCACTTAAGCCCCCGGCATCAGCTCCTCATTTTTTTCCCTTCCCTCCCCGCTCCACCCTCCCTCATGAGCCCTTGATAATTTATAAATTGTTATTTTGTCATATATTGCCCTGTCTGACGTCTCCCTTCACCCACTTTTCGGGAAGTTGCTTTTTTAAAGGAGTCTTTTTGTGAATTATTTTGTAAAGCAAAATAATTGTGTGTGTGTGTGTGTGTGTGTGCATGCACTGTGAATATGAGCTTACTTTCTAATTAATGTGTTTAAAAATGCTTATTTATAGTTGAGTTCCTTAAGAAAGCCTACCGATAACATTTCAAATCATTTTAGGCACTATTGAGTGTAAGAATTTAGATAGTTTATTGCGGAGTGGGGGGAGTATACGTCTTAAGAGTCTAAGCTTCTTGAAGGCAGACAGAGTCCCAAGTATCCTGGCTTTGACCTCTAGCCTGGAGTTTGCACGGGCCAGGTGCTCCTAGGCTGGTGCGGGAAGAACAGGAGAAGCAGGCCCGCGGCGTGTCCTCTAGCCGGTCTCATTCTCTAGGTTCATCCTGAGACGTTTCTGCGTTCTATTCCAGGTAATAAACAGGCTTTGTCTTATTGGCTAATTTAAATCCTTTCCTAACAGCATTTTTAAAGTGTCCAGAAACAAAACGATTAAAATGTTTCCATTTTCAGTTCAAGCTCATGTAACTTTGTATAAAGAAATAACATTTCTAAGAAGTTGCGAACAAACGACATTGTACTTACACCAGTCTAAAGGTTAATCTTGCATATTGTTTTCAATTAGGAATACAATAGATACGGCTGGTGGGTAGGAGAAATGAAGGGAGCCATTGGCTTGGTGCCTAAAGCCTACATAATGGAGATGTATGATATTTGAGTCTTGGGTAAGTACATTTTAATCCAATAGTCTGTGATAGCTCGTATGCTCTCTTGTGCTCTGCCTTCTGAGTTTTGTCTTGTAGTTTTCTGTGGAACACGCAGATTGTGCCCTTCCTCAATTTTTTTTGTTTGCTTTCTCTTATCTGACCTGATTTAAAGAAATAATAAAAATCCTCTACAATTTGCTTCAAAAAGGAGTATTTAGAGGACGTTCTTGTGATCATTGCCAGCTGTTCTCGCAAGCACCCTCCTCTTTTAGTAAAAGACCATTTTCATGGCCTTGCTGAGGAGCTGCATTGACGAAAAGGTTGAGTAAACATTCAACTATCCTTGGTTAAAAATGTCTGTTCTTTTTCCTAAGCAGGAAATACCAACATGTAGTCTGAAGGACAACATTAAAGTGCACCTTCCCCTTTTTGTCTGCAGAAAAGGAGAGGATCCCTGTGCTCATCGGACTCGCGCGGCCTCGTGGAAGCATGAGGGACAGCTCATAACCTTTCTTTGTTTTGTTGAGCATCGTTTGTCTTCGACTGTTATTTCATGCAGTCATTTGTTATACTATTCCTCTGATGTGAAATTTAATGAAGGGTATTAATGTAAATCAGATGCAAGCACTAAAGTTACACCTGTTGCTTTTTTTTTTTATAAAGAAGTAATTGCAGTTCTTATCTACCCATCTGATTTGTGTGATGAGTTCAGCACTGTTTTATATGTACGGCCATCACGACTATGACTCCTGGTGTGCCTCCTAATCCCTTTTAATTATCAGAAATTATTTTTTAGAATGCAACATGCCATTTTGTAGAAATGTTAGTGGCCGATATCCGGCGAGGTTTGGGTAGATGCTCGCCAGAGTCGGTGGTTTTGTTAAAGCTTTGCAGACAATCTAGTTCTCGTGCATTTTCCACACAGCAGCAATAAGTTTTCCTGCAAGGACGTTTACCGATGGCACATTTGCTCCACGTGAAATATGACCCCGGGGAACCAACATCACACCTGCACACGGTGGGGTGGTGCCACCTTCAACACAGTGCCAGCTAGAAACCTGGTTTGGGCAAAGCACTTTGTCAGTAATAAACGTCCTCATTCTGCACTGGGCTTGCTGCCATTTTGTACCATGGTTTTGTTTAAATCCAGTAAACCAAACAATGCCTGAGAATCACCATGCTGGCTGCACTGATACGATGGTGTCAAGAAGCTCAATGCATTCCCAAAGTCAAAAGGCATAAGCAAGCACGCTCTCATCCTCCCTTATCATTGCCGGGCTAGGGCGGTCCCCAGGGGGTGGGAGATCGTGTGTCCCCTCCACCTTCTCAGAGTCCGAGGAGAAAGGGCGGCGTGGAGAGAGCATGGTGGTAGCGAGCATCGTCACAGGTGCCAACAGGCGCTCCAGTCACATCCTGTGGTGCCCGAGCAAGATTTGTAGAATCACGTTGTACTTTTTCAGGTATATTTGAAAGCCAAAGGTATGTTGAAATGCCCAGAAGGTACCATAATGGCCACACTATCAATCAAAATGCCTTGCTGATTTTACAATTAGTTGGAGTGGAGACCATCTCCTAATACTGCATCGTTAAGCAGGTGCTCTCTTCGTTGAACTCCAGAACAGTTGTCACCGTGCACCCTCTGTGTGTGTATTTATAGAAAGCTCTTTCAAGCAGTATTTCAGAGGACACATGTCAGAACTACCCCGTCCAATTCCAAATGTTTAGAAAAAGAAGGGTGGGTTGAGGCTTTAGCTCTCCCCTGCCCTTCAGAGTTGCTGGAAGTCCGAATGGGTTCCATGGCAGTCGACTCTGGTTTGGTGGGAACGCTCCCGTGTGCGCAATGGGCATCGTCAAGCCAGAGCAGCCACTTGCATTTTTGACGGCGGCCTTGCTGGAAGATGGGGAAGCATGTTGCGCAAGCCGGAGAGCCAGGAATGAACTTGGTACCCTGATCCTCACAGCCTGGGCGGCTGAACAGCCTCGGCTTCCACCGAGGCCTGGCTTGCAGACGCTGGGTGTGTGCGGCCCGGCCCCGGGAAGCTGGTAGTAGCAGGCCAGTAGATGGCAGCAGCTTCTCATTACAGGCCCACCCACTTGGCACCCCCTCCCCCACTCCGGCACCGAGGCACCCAGAATGTAAAATGTTGAGAGGATTTCGGCCTCTTTTTACAGTTAATCCAGGAGAGGGAGTCCTTCGCCAACTGATGACCAACCACCCCAAACCTGCTAGCCTTTCTGTGGCCGGGACAACACCAAAGTAAAGTGTTACTCCTGTCCCCAGCACCCGGCCTTTGTTCTTCTTAACTTCTGTCAAGGTGAGGGATCTCAGAAAGGAGAGGCAAACGGGGCACAGTTGGACCACAGGAAAAAGCGGCATCCACAGGGTCCTCGAGGAAACCACCATGCGGTACCAGGGAGGAAGTTTCCTGTGCACCCTTGACAATACATCACACACTCGTCAAGATCATAATCATAGCATTAATGGGAATTTAAACAACACGGCTTGTTAGAAAATATGCTAATTGCTATGTTCTCATTATGTTTGCCTAGCTTTTATTTGTTTTTCTATGAACAGTTAGAGAGCTCATTTTTTTTCCAAAGGTGATTGTAAGTCATATTTTATATAGCATTTTGCTTGATTATTGGCTCTGTACTGAATTTGTACTCTGTTGCCATTAGATCTTACAATAATGTTCCACTCTGCAAATTTTTAAGGTTCAAATAAAGTTTAATTGTTTGCAAACTGTTATGATGCTAATAATTCAACAGCCTGCTGTGTTACTAATGAAATTACTTTGTTATGATTAATTTGGAAAATAGTGTGTTGATTGTAGTAATTAAGCACAACAAGGTGAAGTAAATGATTCTAATGCCATCTGGCCTCCAAACTGAATGAAGAAATGAAATAGGGCTGTCATCTGAATTTATTCAAAGAAGTAAGGATAATACAAATGGCTTTCATTGCCATAGGAGTTAGACTTAACCACAGCTCACACTCCATTCTGGCTTTGCCTCTTTTGCTGCACGGAATATTTTCTTTGATGAAAAAGAGTGCTGTTTTTGGCCCAGGAATTGTTCTGAATACTTGGTGTGATTTTGAACCGATTGCTTTTACCTTGCGCTATTGTAATTACAGATCATTGTATGAAGTATTGTTGGATCACAGAAAAGCACCTTTCGGCTGTTGTAGGTTAATCTACAGCTGTGGGTTTTTTTGAGACTCATTTGGTTTATTGACAATGCCCCATGCTGCCCTCTGCTCTCAGAACAGCTCTCAGTCTCAAAAGAACCCAACCCAAGTCCCTGAGGTTGGCCTTTTAGCATGGCTTCCTTCCCTGCAGGAGGACAGAGCAAGGGCCCCAGCCTGATCCCATCAAGCCGCTTTTGGGATGGGGAGATGCCTGAGCATCACACAGTGCCACTCTCTTTGCAGCCGCGACTGCAGGGGTCACCTTTACTGGGGTGCAGAGATGGTGTGGCCCCTGCCTATCCTGAGGCCACCCTAGAACAATCACCCCGCAAGGAGGAGAGTAACCAGACCCAGACACACACTTTTTGCTCCCCCTCCTTCAGACTGTCCCCACCACTCCCCGAGATCCAGGCCCTGGCAAAGGGACTGGTGAGGGAATGGGGAGGGAGGGAGGAGGTCCAGGGTCCTCCCTGTTCTGTTGCCCTGGTCTCTGAGGGGCCAGTGTGGGGTTTTTGTGTTTTGTTGCTTGCAGTGTTACAAGCACTTGAATATATCCTGGTGACAAAGAGTAGAATTTCAGTTCAATTGTTTCTAAAATGTTTGTAGCCATAGCCCTCTCCTAAGTCGTACAGCTTCAGTTTTTCCTGTGTTTTGTTTCTTTGTGGTCTCATCTCTTGTTGTTTACTTCCTCACATCTGGTTCTCTCCAAGATCGTGCTGGGAAACAGAACTACTGGTAAGTCCCAGATGGGAGATCTAGATGTGCAGCTCATCCCTATGGGAACACTGACCCTGATAATACTGTTGTGTGAAAATTCGAACGTCATCATTGAGACTGAATGCAACATTGTAAGACTTGTTCAATCCAGTAAAGGACCTCTGAATTTTTGATAAACCAATCTTTGGTACTTCAGTCGTTGAGTAGAATTATAGACACAAACCTGATGAGAATCACTTATACTTATTTTGAGTTCAATAGATTCAAGGCTATTGAAAAGCAGTCCACATAGTAAAAACTGAGGTAATTGAGGGTTAAACTGTGGTCGAACCACAGAAAACACAGACTCACTGGAAGTTGAAAGAGTGCGATGAATATACGCACCATGAAAAGATTCTTTACAGTGGCCTGATATGTCAGCTATATACTAAGTATTCCAACCTGCAGAGAAACAAATAAGTGGCATGCTATGAAAGTATCTTAAGTTAAAGTATGACTGACGCTGATATGCCTTCAAATACTTCCACAGTTGAGCATCTGGGCTGGGGACAAGGAATTCCAGAAACCCTCAGCTAGAGCCGAAATGGATGAGTCTTCCAGAAGTCCCATCAGTACCTCTGAAGGGTTAGCGTTGTGCTTTGATAGGTGCTTACGAAATGACACGGCCTCAGGTACCATGCAATCCTACTTCACTGTTGTTTTGCTTGTGGGGCGTTTTCATTTGTTTTCACTGGTGGAACCTGTCCTTTCATTACTTGGACGCAAATGCAGGGTTTGTTGTCAGCCTCGTACAGAGTCTCTGGTGAGCATCCAGTTAAGTATTGGTTAATTAACTGATGGGGCACCTGACTGTTACTTTAAGCCTGCAGTTGAAGCAGAAAAGAGCTTGTGTTCATAACATGGTAGAGAAAAGCTCGTCAGCTATTTGATACATCGGCTTTCTGTCCTCAGTTCAAAATCCAAACCAACAACCAGAGTGCCCCCTCACTGAGCTCCCTTAAGGGCATCAACAAATGGGGTTCATCTGATTGTTAGTAACGGAATTGGGGGAGATTGGGAATCACCCGAAAGTCGGGTTGTGAGAGGTGGTCTTTAATCCTTCTTGTGTTCGGCCTCGGACTCATTCAGAGGAGACACAGGCATCTAGGAGGGCTTGGGGCGCTGTGATGTGACCTCACTTTCCAGTGTGCCCCAGATCGCGGCAGCCCGGTATTCCTTCTGGGCAGTAGCAGAGAGGCCTGGCCTCTGCCTTCTGATTGCGGAAGCCGGAATTTCTAAAAGTTAGAAGTTTCCCTTGTCATCAGGCCAACCATGATTCCAGTTTTGTCTTTTCCTCCTCCTCCTCCTCCTCCTCCTCCTCCTCCTCCTCCTCCTTTAACGTGGCATGCCTATATTAATTTGAGTGCTTGGAATCTCCAAGACAAAAAGACAGACACACGGACCTGTAAGAACTGGAAAAAGACACATAAATGCAGAAAGATGTTCAAGTCTAACAATTGTGATTGTTTAGCTTCGGCCTGGGCACAGGGCTGGAAGTTGAACAAGTGAAACACGTTTGAAGGTGTACCTAGGTTAAAAGAGGAAACTTCCCTCCTAGCCCACCTTCGTCGTTGCTTTCCTGAACACCGGCACCTGGGGATGTATTTTCTTGGCGTCTCTCCGGCCCGTTCTCACAGAGTTCTGGTTTATTAGCCAGGCCTCAGCTAGAGATGAGATTGGGCCAGTTGTCTGTGTGCCGTGTGCGCGCCTCAATTTTGTGATATAAAAATGTCACACCAGCAAGAGTAAAAAGCAGGTGCCGTTGTGTAGCTTGTGAGGCAATTTACCTCTTGTTTGAGGAAAGTGTCACACAGGTCCTGACAGAGGAGGAAGCTAATGACACCAACGTAAACGTATGCCAATTAAAAAGGAGACAGTCCAACAAAGAAGCAGATTCCCATCTAACTGCCACCTCCTCCCAGAGCCTAAGGGAGCTCACTCAGAAAGCCTCCTGTCCCCGGAGTGGTTTCAAACTATCACACCAACTGGGATGACAACAGTTTAATGAAGACTCGTCATCACCCTAATAGAAGGGGCTTCTGAAAAATCCCGTGGATTAATTGGATTTAATGGAATTTTACTCTGGACTTTTCAAAGCCCCACCCCCAACCCCAATTTCCAGAATGTCTACTGTGTGTCATGAAGCCTACTTTTCATTTAATTCTTATAACTAACCCACGAGAGGACTTCTAGTTGCTAGTCCCGTCTCCCTGGTTCGGAAACAGGAAGAGTCCAGAGTGAGGCCATGACACGGCCAGGTGTCACACACGATAGGACCTCCCTTTCTCCTGAATTCCCCAGTCCCAGCTCAGTACCGAGTTCAAGCCAAATGTTTCATTGCATTCTTTGCATCTGATATTGCCAGGAACCATGGGACTGAGCGCAACCCTCCATGCGCACCAGCAGCCAACACCACCACGTCTCTCACCGTCCTCACAATTGCGCTTGCACCCGTTGTGTAATGATCCTGATGTCCTTTTCCAGAACCTGGCCCTTCCTGAGAACAGATCTGAAGTACCTGAGATGACGTCTTGCGTCTGAGGAGCCTCCTGGCTGTGCTTCTTCCAAGAGATCTTCTTCTTCTTCTGGCAATCCACGGCCCTTGGATTGCTCTTCACAGCACCATGGTTCGGTTGCAGCAAGACTCTGGCCTTCTTCCTCATTCACCGTCCAGCTTTGGCAGGCAGGTAAGGAGAGAGAAAAGACTGGGTTTGCATCAGGTGCACCTCAGTCCTCACAGGGGTCTCTTTGCTTTTAATGCTCAAAAGAAGTGTCTTGCAGCAGATTTGCAATGATAGGATTTGCTTTCTTGACTGCTGCTTCCAGGGGCATCGATTACGGACCCAAATAAAATGTTGAGACCCTTGACGACGTCAGCATTTTCTCCCATCGTCATGTTCTTTACGGGGGGCCGTTATCACAGACCCTCCGAACATGCTTCTTGACTGGTGGGTGATGACACCATTCATAGGAAATGATCTTTGTAGCATGTGGTTGATGGAGGATTGGGGTCATGGCCTGGAGCAGATCAGAACCAGGTGATCTGCAGTGGAGAATGAGCTTTGACTCAGGAACATTTCTGTCTCCTAATTCCCAGTCTAAGTGAACATTGGAAGTCAATCAAGGGAGGGAACAGAGAGAAGACAACAGGCCACTGGCGGCAGCAACTCCTCCATCTCTGTTCTTTCTGTCCTCTGCCGGCCCATCTTCTCGCAGCTGACTAGCCAGGAACCGTACTGACAATACTGTGCAGGCTGTCTCCACTGCAAACAGCGACTACAGGAGGGTGGATTTTAGACAGTTTGGTTTTTCCTCTTTCATTAGTTGGGATTTAAGATGTAGAACATATTCCAGATTTCAATCACGTCAGGTAGAGTTGTACAGTTGCTATCACAATTTATTTCCAACCATTCTGTTTCTACATGGATGCCTTGACATCGTCTCCCTTTCACACAGCCCACCACCACTGTGCCCCCCACCCCTAAGCCCCCTTTTCTACTTACTGTCGCTGTAGGTTCATCAGTCCCGGGTTTCATATCCTGGAAAACAGAAAAGCGTTTGGCACAGCCTCAGGAGGGTGACCTCTGTCGACTCGACACCCCGAGACACACCTACTATGGACAAACAAGAAACAGATAACAATACAAACCAAACATACAGAACGTTTTGGAAACCAGGTCCAGCCTGCAGCCTCGGGAGGGATCTGTTGACAAAGTTTAAACCCTTGGGTCAGATTTATGCCTTTGATCTCCCCCCTCCTTCAACAGTTTTATTGACACATATTTACATATCATATAATTCAA